CCACTCTAAATTTGACCTGGCAACCAATATTTCCAAGCTCAGAAGATGACTTTTATGTTGAAGTGGAGAGGAGGTCTGTGCATATAAAAAGTGATCAGCAGAATATTAAAGTTCCAGGCAACTTGACTTCGGTGCTACTTAACAACTTACATCCCAGGGAGCAGTACATGGTGCGAGCTAGAGTCAACACCAAGGCCCAGGGGGAATGGAGTGAAGGTCTCACTGCTTGGACCCTTAGTGACAGTAAGTAACTCATTCTGCTCGTCTCCTCTGAGCAATATGGGGCTATCACCATTCGAATTTGGTAACATCACTTCAAGACCATTTGAAATTATGAAAGAAAGGTAGTTATGACAGAAGGCTAATTAGTGCCCTCCACCTGATCATTTTAATAACTTGCAATGTATAAGAAAGCCCCATATATTTGGATTTGCAATAATTCGGGCAGGGCTGTGCTAAAATTTACCCTCCCTTGGTGTGCAGTTGTTTATTTAGTAAATTAGTAACAAGAATAAGGTTTTCTAGGGCTTGTTGAACTATTTATGGGGCAGTTTTTAAGGATTATCATATGTATCTACATGTACACAGATGTCAATTAAGTCCAGATGGATGTTTCCTAATCTTGAAAACCAAGTAACTATTCTTGAAAGCCCTTGAAAACAGGATATATATATATATATATATATATATATATATATATATATATATATATATATTGCCCTTTAGGTTCTGGGGTGCATGTGCAGAACATGCAGGACTGTTGCATAGGTACACACATGGCAATGTGGTTTGCTGCCTCCATCCCCTCCCTCACCTACATCTGGTGTTTTTCCCCATGTTATCCCTACCCAACCTCCCCACCACCCACTGTCCCTCACCTATTCCCCCACAACAGACCCCAGTGTGTGATGCTGCCCTCCCTGTGTCCATGTGTTCTCATTTCAACATCTGCCTATGAGTGAGAACATGCAGTGTTTGATTTTCTGTTCTTGTGTCAGTTTGCTGAGAATGATGGTTTCCAGATTCATCCATGTCCCTACAAAGGACACGAACTCATCATTTTTATGGCTGCATAGTATTCCATGGCTTATATGTGCCACATTTTCCCTGTCCAGTCTATTGTCAATGGGCATTTAGGTTGGCTCCAGATCTTCGCTATTGTAAACAGTGCCTCTATGAACATATGTGTGCATGTGTCTTTGTAATAGAATGATTTATAATCCTTCGGGTATATACCCAGTAATGGGATTACTGGGTCAAATGGAATTCCTATTTCTAGGTCCTTAAGGAAGTGCCACACTGTCTTCCAATTTTGTGAAACTTTCAAGGTGCAGAATAATGCTAAGAGTAACATAAAAACACTCACATTCCTACCATCCAGAATTAACAACTGTTGACTTTTTGTCACATTTGCTTTCAGCATTTGTTGTTGCCTTACGGGGTAATAACCCACTGCAGATATGTCAGTATCTCCCTTTGACTGTTACCCCTATTCCATTTCTATTCCCCTCTCCCAAGAGACAACCAAAAATAAGAGTTTGTTAAGTATATTTCCACTTAATGTTGTATAATTTTTTTTTGAGACAAGGTCTCCCTCTGTTGCCCAGGCTGGTGAGCAGTGGTGCCATCATAGCTTACTGCAGCCTTGGCTTCCTGGGCCCAAGCAGTCCTCCCACCTCAGCCTCCTGAGTAGGTGGGACCACAGGCACACACCACAACATCTGACTAATTTTTTAAAAAATTTTTGTAGAGATGGGATCTCCCTATGTTGCCTAGGCTGGTCTGGGAGTCCTGGGCTCAAGCAATCCTCCCATCTTTGCCTCCCAAAGTGCTGGAATTATAGGCCTAAGCCACTGTGCCCAGCCCAATATTCTATAATATTAATATATCTAAAAGTATACATATGCATACATATCATTCATCTTTTTTGAATGAACATTATGATTTTTATCTATCCATATTAATTTATTTAGCTTTGATGCATGCCATTTTGACTTCTGCATAATATTCTATCTTATGAATGCATCTTGTCATTCATTCCCTTCCTCTAAAGCGGTTAGTCCGTGTATCCTACGTTCAGGAGTGTATGACAGTGCCATTTTCCTTATACCCTTCTCTGTACCTGTATCCTTTCCCTATATCTATATCACTTGATAGTGTCACACCTTGTTATTTTTGCATATCTCAAAGGCAAAAAATGGTACCTCATTGTTGATTTCAATTTTGATGTCCTTAATAACTAGCAAAGGTAAGCATCTTTTTATGTTAATTGTTCACTGGATGTCTTCCTTTTTGATACACTTATTGATATCCTTTGCTCATTTAGAATAGGTTGCCTTTCTTACTGATTTGTAAAAATTATTTGTATGATCTAAATATTAATTGCAAAATATATTCTCCTAATCCCTTTACTGTAACCTTGTTTGTGGTGGTTTTTAACCCACAGATACTTTACATTTTGATGCAATTGGACCTGTCAGTATTTGCCTTTATGATTTTTACTTTTTGCATTTTGGAATTATTCCCTATCCCAAGGTCAAAAACATATTCTCTCTGTTTTTCCTACTCGTGCTAGTGTTGTTTTGTGTATTTAGGTTTTTAAGATGTAGGAATGTTATTTGGGGGGAATGTTATTAGTATATTTTACTATTTTTATTTTAATGTTATTTATTCACATATGGCAAGTCAGTGTTCCCAGTGCCACATATTGAATAGTCCCCATGGTGAGTCGTGATGCTTTCTGTATCATATGCCAGGTTCTCATATTCATTTTGCATCTATTTCTGGATGTTCTGTTCTCTTCCATTGATCTGTTTGTTCCTGTGCCATTTCCAGCATATTTAAATTAACTATAGACTCATAAAATGTCTTGATAACTCTGGGGTGAATCACCGTTTCCTATTTCAAAATTATCCTAGGTGCTCACTATTCTATGTAAGTTTCATCCTTATTAGAATGATTACTCTCAAAATCACACTATCAGTATCATAGTTTAGGATTAAACAAAAACCAGTTAATAGTCACTGGGAGTTGACTTGTCTTGGATGATTGTATGAAATTTGATGGACGGTCAGTATTGGTGGTGGTAGTAGGGATGTAGGAATGGCAGGGTAGGAGTTGATCCCTATAGGGTCAGGAAATCAGAGGAAGGAGGATGTGAATGAGAACGTTCCAATTTTACCTGAAAATATTTGTTAATATGCTGCGTTGTCATTGGCTGATCATGAATGTTCAGAAGTAAAATTAATACTTCCAGTTATAAAATTTGTGTTGGTTCCCAGCCTAGCAATTCCATCTGGTCCAAGGGTAAAAAGTGGAGTGAATTAGATTTGGCATATCACCCCAATCATATTAAAAATAATATATGTGTGTTAGGTTTTCTCGTTGGAAAACATTTACCTGGGGAGTGTTTGACTCTTACAATGACTCTTTGAGGAAGGTAGAGTAAGAATGACCATCAAATTTATCAGATGAGGAACCTGAGGCACAGAGGAGGGCAGGTGACTTGCCCAAAGTTATGCAGTTAGTACGGCATGGGGATTCGGATTCTAACCCTCATTTTGTTCTATTTTTTCCCCAGCCATGCTACAAATGTCTTCCACTTGTCTCTTTGGATGGGCAACCCACTGCTTCAAAGCAACTATGGTTCTAGTTGTTCTTTAGTAGTGATATCCCATTTCTAAATTGTTTAAGGTCTGATTAGTGTTTCCTACAGGATTCTAGAATCTATTTTAGGGTCACCTAGGGAACCTGCTAAAATGTAGATTGCTGGGTCCAGACCCACTGAATTTAAGTCAGAGGTTTATTGAGCCATCCCTAAGAGTGACTCCTTTCAGGCATAAAATGGATAAATTGGTAGATGCAAATTTATGATTTTTAGTTGTTACCACATTATATTCATTATTTTTCTAACAAGTATCTAAAAGACACTGCTGCTTTTTGTGACAGGCTTAGAAGACCTCGGTTTATGAAGTTGAATTTTTTTGAGCCACAACTATTAAATATGTGAACGTAGTAATCTGAAAATATTAGTATTTCTATTACCCCTTTAATCTCCTGTGGGAAGAAAGGCTATTGTATATTTTTATAAAAATATACAAAAATTTGGTACTGGATGTAAAGAAAGACATACTGTTGATTAATTGTGATTTTTGGATACTGTACCACCTGGTAGACATAGAACATAACAATCAGATTTGGAAGGTTCAAAATCCAATACCAAATTCCCATAAATTGCCATAGTCCCCTAAGGAGTAACATGGGGGAGTCAATGTAATGAAAAGAAAAAAAATTTCATTTTTTTTAAAGGCAAAAACACATGTAATTTTATTTTTGCTTAATCTTAAGCTTGCTAACTTCTTCCCCTGAACATCATTTGTCTTATTTTGATACCCACCTACACTTATATTAGAAATGTACTACAAACTACTTAGTGATTCCACTTTGAATTCATAGTCGTATGACTAAGATGTTTTGAATATATGCCTATCCATATGCCAGATATAAATTTCAGAAACTCTTAATGTCTCTTCTTTCACAGAAATTCTACCTCTATCCTGATGTAATTAGGTTAAGAAAATTAAATGCTATGGGCCAGAAAACTAACTTTCACAAATGCAACAAAAGGAAAAGTTTTTCCAAGTATCCCTATGCAATGGGAAATCTTTCTTTCAAGTACCAAGTCAGTTTCTTCAACTGTACAATGTATTCTGATTTGATGGTTTTCAACAAAATGTAATAAAATTAAGACTATAAGAAAACAGAGTAAATGGTATAATTCAAATAATGACTAAAACAAAATGGCATTACGGATTTTATAATCAATATATAACTATATATTTATTTTTATTTTTTTATTGCATTTTAGGTTTTGGGGTACATGTGCAGAACATGCAAGATAGTTGCATAGGTACACACATGGCAGTGTGTTTTGCTGCCTTCCTCCCCTTCACCCACATTTGGCATTTCTCCCCAGGCTGTCCCTCCCCTATTCCCCCCAGTAGACCCCAGTGTATAGTACTCCCTTCCCTGTGTCCATGTGTTCTCATTGTTCATCACCCGCCTATGAGTGAGAATATGCAGTATTTTATTTTCTGTTCTTGTATCAGTTTGCTGAGAATGATGTTCTCCAGGTTCATCCATGTCCCTACAAAGGACACGAACTCATCATTTTTGATTGCTGCATAATATTCCATGGTGTATATGTGCCACATTTTCCCAGTCCAGTCTATCATCGATGGGCATTTGGGTTGGTTCCAGGTCTTTGCTATTGTAAACAGTGCTGCAATGAACATTCGTGTGCATGTGTCCTTATAGTAGAATGATTTATAGTCCTTTGGATATATACCCAGTAATGGGATTGCTGGGTCCAATGGAATTTCTATTTCTAAGGCCTTGAGGAATCGCCACACTGTCTTCCACAATGGTTGAACTAATTTACATTCCCACCAACAGTGTAAAAGTATTTCTCCACATCCTCTCCAGCATCTGTTGTCTCCAGAATTTTTAATGATTGCCATTCTAACTGGCATGAGATGGTATCTCAATGTGGTTTTGATTTGCATCTCTCTAATGACCATAACTATATATTTAAATTTTACTTTACATCTGTAAGATCACAGTTAAGGAGGTTAACCATAATTTCAAATTTTATTACCAGCCATTTGTGCTATTTTATCACATTTGAAAATATCACTCTTATTTTTTACTTCAAACAGTGATCTATAAATTTGTTTAGACCATAATAATTAAGGACCTTTTCTTTTCTTCTTCAGGATAATTTTAAAAATTGAATGATATATTGAACCTACCACTAAAAAATCTTTACTTTTTGTTTATGGCCTCTACATTGAAGATCTGTAGGAATTTTTCTAATTCTCACATCTTCCCATGACATCTCTGTTCATAGAAATATCATCTTTGAAATAATTTGTGTGACTACTTTACAAATCAAAAATGGATTCACATGACCAAATTATCATAATCACTAATTTTAACAGTTTCCTAGATATTTTCTATATCAGTTTTCTTGATTGTGCCAATAATATGAACACGCTCTTAATAGAACAGAACATTTCATTACATTGGTTTCCCACCAGCCCACCAAAATCACTTAATAATTGTATTGGCCATTTCCACTGATCGGCAGGAGGCTGTTCCACTAATGGCTCCCATGTTTTCCACTGCACCATTTTTCTTGCTAGTCTTAGTTCACGTTCAGCCTGAAGAATCACTTCTTTTAATTGACCACCTTGAAGTTGGTCTGCTAATTTTTGAACATGTGGTTCCACTTTAACCATAGCCAGCTTCTCATTTATAATCTGTTCTGTATATTTTCTATATGCTGCATTTTTAGGGATATCCTCAAGAACATCAAGAATCTTTGTGTACAATATTCTTAGCCTCTCGTGTGGAGTATTGCACACAGCCGATCCCACAAGGCCCGTGGTCTTCTCCAGCACACCTGCCATGACAGCACCGATGAGTCAATGACCAAGAAAAAAATTTTAAATAGAAAGGATGTACCTTGAGATACTTCTCAAAGGTTCTAATTTGCTTATAAGCGATAGCTTTCATGTGGAAAAACAATGGTGTATGGAATGAAACAGCCTATGTCTACTATTCATCTAAACAAAACTCTTAAATTTTTGAAGTCTTAGTTTTCTCGTCTCTAAAATGTGGAGCATAAGAACCTCAGCACTGTGTGGTTATACAAGTCAAGAGAGTGTCTGCATGTGGAAGCACATTGTAAATAGCCTCATAATATAAGGTACAGAGAATATTAAGAACAAGAGCTCGAATTCATTCTTTTTTTTTTTTTTTTTTTGAGACGGGGTCTCTCTGTTGCCAGGCTGCAGTGCAGTTGTGTGATCTCAACTCACTGCAACTTCTGACTTCCTGGTTTAAGTGATTTTGCCTCAGCCTCCCGGGTAGCTGGGATTGCAGGCATGTGCCACTACACCCAGCTAATTTTTGTATTTTTAGTAGAGATGGGGTTCCATGTTGGCCAGGATGGTCTCTATCTCCTGACCTCGTGATCTGCTCGCCTCGGCCTCTCAGAGTACTGGGATTATAGAATGAGCCACCATGCCCAGCCGAATTCATTCTTTTCCTGGGTTAAATAGGCTTAGGCTTTATCAAGTTGTGAACTTCCCTTCTAAGACCTGTGCCCTTTCGAGTTTGAGTGAGAATGTAGTGATGATGAGGTGCCTGTCATCTTCACACGTGGAAAATCTCAAGGCATCTCTTTCTCATCCTGCCTATGACCCTGAATGGAATGTGACCCCACTTTTCCCCAAATCCCTATAATACTTTGTCCACTGAAAGTTATTAGCACATTTTCTCATGTATACACTAACCTGCTTGCTGCTCCATAAATTTAGAGCAAGGACAGACCATATGATGCTAAGACTATGGACTACAGAGCCAGACTGCCAGGAGTTGAATCTTGTTTCTTCTACTTAACAGTAGTGTGAATCTTAACTACTGTTAAGTAGTGTGACCTTGGCTAAGTCACTTAATCTCTCCAGACCTAAGCACTTACAGCAAGACTGTTATGAAGAAGAAATGAATTAATATATACAAGAGCCTAGATCAATGCCTCCCATATCGTAAGCACTATATAAATGCTAGCTCTCATAAGCTTTCCGTTCTTCCCAGCATCAAGAATAATAAATACAGGTTTGTGGAATGACAGAATTTTTAAGGCCTTCGTTTAGTGTCAAGATGACAGTAGATGTTATGAGTGTTGTCATTTCCTTGTGCCACTCTTTCAAGTCTTCATGGACTTGAAGTAGCCACTACCAGTTGATTGGGATAACATCTGAGAAAATATCTGTTTGCCTTTCATGGTGTATGAGCTGACATGAACCCTATCTCTAAAGCATAATGATCTAATGTGGTAGTGTATCTTCAGTGAATCTTTTTTCTTTTTAATTTCTAGTTCTTCCTCCTCAACCAGAAAAAATCAAGATTTCCAACATCACACACTCCTCTGCTGTGATTTCTTGGACAATATTGGATGGCTATTCTATTTCTTCTATTACTATCCGTTACAAGGTTCAAGGCAAGAATGAAGACCAGCACATTGATGTGAAGATAAAGAATGCCACCATCACTCAGTATCAGCTCAAGGGCCTAGAGCCTGAAACAGCTTACCACGTGGACATTTTTGCAGAGAACAACATAGGGTCAAGCAAACCAGCCTTTTCTCATGAACTGGTGACCCTCCCAGAATCTCCAGGTTGGTTGAATGGACAGGTGTTTACATAGGATTACCGTGCAGCCCTGTAGCAGCTGGTTTATCAGGACAGGCCTGTGAAATGAAAACCTATGAAAGGTCGCTGGTTGAATGGACAGGTATTTATTTACAGAGAGGTCCTTAATATCAAATGCCTCCAAGAAGGACCCCTGTTGGTCCATTTTCTATTATTAAATAGATCAGTCTATCAGCATACCCCATCCAGCAATCTAAGAAGAAAGCCCTGAGGAACTTTAATTCTGAGGAGAAAGAAGAATGTGGGAGCTGCTTATAGAAGGCAGGCTGAGCAAGAGCTCCCGGGGAAGGCTCCAGGAACCATGTTCCATTCTTCCTCACACACTCCTCTTTTAGCTTGGATGACACTGTGCAATTCTGAGTTTCCTTCTACTTTATTGATGTAGGTTATTAGGTCTCCATGTCCACCACTAACCCCAACCCCAGAAATAGTTTGCGATTTGAGTTAGAGGTCCTCTCAGAATACCATAGTGTGCCCAGCGTTTGTGACTGATAAAATCTGTTGAGTGTAATTAAGTGAACAAAGGCCCCGTGTGGGTGGAGCTGCAGCAGGAGGATTGACTTCAAGTCTGGGCAGAGGCGCCTCCCAGATCTCTGTGTTGTGTACAATGTTTGCTAGAGAATGTGTATAGAGGCATGTTAGAGGCAAGTTTTGAAAATTTATGATTTGGATTACGGTCTATGTTTACAGAAAATGCTATAACTAAATCTAAAAACTTCTCAGTTCTCTTGGAGGATTACTTAGACCTTAAGAAACAAAATCAAACAAGTCGCTTTAACAGTGCTGATTCTTTGAAACATTTTTGAAATGTTCAAGAAATGAAGAATCTGCTCAATAGAGAAAATCATGGTTTTCAGGTCAGACTCTTAGTGAATGCTCCAATTTTGTGATTACTTGTGCTCTGGTAAAATGTAACTTCCTGAATTCAAGCTATACATAAAATACCAAGAGAAAAATTTTAAAACAAGACAAAACCAAAAATTCTTATCATTCTAGACATCTCTGTATCTGTACATATATAGAGATAGAAGGAAAGATAAATGAGAAGGGAGGGATACTTTTAAGAAGATGGGATTATGTTCTGTGTGCTAATACTAATAAACATTTATTAATTTTATTTGAATTTAAATAAGGGAAAGAAGTAGAGAGATTAGACCACAGTCTTTATAATTTATTTTGACGTAAGCCCTAAATTTAGTGTTTTTGCCTCTGTCTTTTCCTGTCTTCCTCCTTCCCTTCCTCCCTCTCTTTTTCTATTGGTATCCTTAGGTTTTCTTCATTAACTCTTTAAAACGAGAAAAACAAAACAAAATATCTGATAGACTCTAAGCTCTTGGCATAATCGAACTTTAAAACATTTCTAGGTGGGGAAATTGAGGTTTAGGGAGGTTTAGTCATTCTCCCTGTTATTCAGTATTGTTCATCTGCTTGGGACCCTACTTGGAAATAAAAGTTGAGCAAATGATAACTGATGATTAGCACACTGCCAATTGTAACAGCACTTTTGCACATGCTTTTTCTTTTTTTTTTTTTTTTGAAAGATCCTGTAACAACCCTGTGAGTCAGACTCATCTCCACTGAGTTTTAGAATATAAAGGAGTAGCCTGAGGTCATGGAGTGATTAGGTGGCGGGGTTAGGGCTGCCGTTAAGTTCCCATTACACTGTGTCTTCTCCCAAAGACGGTGATGGTCTGTTTCTCTATGTAAACTAACCTACCTGCTTCACCTCTGTCTTTCTGCACAGCACCAGCGGACCTCAGCGGGGGGAAGATGCTGCTTATAGCCATCCTTGGCTCTGCAGGAATGACCTGCCTGACTGTGCTGTTGGCCTTTCTGATCATGTTGCAATTGAAGAGGGCAAATGTCCAAAGGAGAATGGCCCAAGCCTTCCAAAACGTGGTAGTGTTGCATCTTCCTACTAGCTAGCTAATAAGGGCAAGTCCAAGTACAGGCAGAACCTTCACTTTAAAGATACGGACCAGGAAATTTACTTGTAAAGCAAATGTTTCCCTTAGGCAAGTCTCATCTTCTCTTTGGCTTCCATTATAAAATTGAAGATAAAAAGTATGACTATATAATTTCTTATCCATACCAGAAGAATTTTAAGAGTGAAAAGGGTGCTCTTAGTAAATTTTGCAGGAAACCAGGTATGCCCCTGCCTGCTGAAATGAGATGTATGGTCATCCTAATAATAAATCCCGAGAGAGGATACCTTGCAGTAGAATGAATTGAACATTTTTGGTAAGGAATGACATGAGGGTAACCAGACCTCAATGAGATAAGTAGTCATGTATTACATTAGACAGGTTTTTCCCCCATTTGCCGATTTTTAGTTCCCATTTCTTTCTAATAACTCCCTCAATCTTATCACCTCTCAAATGTGTAAGAATTGTATATACGTGTGTGTGTCTCCCATTCCTGTGTACCCTCAGTCTGATGTCAGGGTTCCTGGCACATGGTGCTGCCTCATTTTTTTTCAACTAGGAATTCTAACCAGTAGCAAAGGGCTATAAAATCACACTTCACCAAGAGGCATCTTATTTGAGTTATTTCAGTATACTAAAGCCTGAAAATTTATCTAGTTTGTGGGTTCAGGCCCTGTAAAATTAATTTGAAACAGACTATATCAATTCTGTATATAATGCATTCAGTGCAACGATTCAAGTGAGGTGTACCCTATGTGCATGAATCTCCAAGATTCCCCTCCATGGAGGACAAGAGGAACTTCACCATCTGACTCCATGCCGGAGCTGGTTCAACTCAGGCTGTCACTGGAGAGGGGGGACCATCAAGGGGGTTGGGAGTGCTAGAGCCTGTCAAAATGCCCGTGCTTTTTCAAGGTAGCACTAGCAGCTATTTTTGAAGTCAGGAGAAAGAGATACTGTGTTGAGTTCAGCTCTAAGCTTCAGTCATCCTGTGGCCAGAGTGGACTTACAGATTCTAAGCCTTAGGACAAGAAAAAGGGAAAGTATGTGCAGTAAAAGTAGACTAGGATCAAGATAATGCTAAGAAAGCTGTCACTGAGACACATCCTGTGGCAGCCCCATATGGGATCTCCAAGCTAGTTTCCAAACCAGAACTGAACACTTGTTCATTTCACAGCCCTGTGGGGAACTCACATACAACTAATGCAAGGATGGCAAACACGTGGCCCATGTACTGTTCCTCTGTCCTCCCTCACCCTTTACAGACATTGCTAATCAATGAGCCTTTCCAGGGCAGCCCAGAATGGTGCCTGTGCAGCCCTATAGGCAGCTGGTTTATCAGGACAGGCCTGTGAGATGAAACCTATTTCCCTTTCCAGCCTACAATTAAATATACTATTTCTTTTTTCATCTGATGTGGATACCAACCAGAAGATA